CTAGACTATATACTGTAGAGTGTTGTGCCCACTGTTCACCTAGACTATATACTGTAGAGTGTTGTGCCTAGCCTACAAACCTCTGCAGCATGTAAACACACTGAACAGGCAATCACAACACAATGGTACATATCTGTGTATGTACACACAGCTTTCTGTGTGTATACAGTAACCCAGTCCCATTATAATCACATGGGTCTACTGTTGTATACATCGCCCATCAGTTATAGACTGGAACATTGTTATTTAGTGTGACGGCATGATTTCATAGCAAAGAAAGGAATCATATCTTACCATCCTGCCGAGTGCCAACTAGAAAACAAACAATAAAAAAAAAATGAGTTAGTAAGGGCTGTGAATGCCTGAAATGCTAAACAAAAAAAGTTGTGTTCCTGTCTTCCTGTCACTGGCACCTAAAGTCCTTTCCACCCCACCTCAGATCAGCCGTTTCTGTACACCAGGACAGGATGTTTATTGCAGGGTATTGGGCAGGGGTTCCCAGTCAATTCGGGAGGACACTGAACAATGAGACAACCAGCCTGAGACACAGGTGTGCGGCCCTGACAAGCAGAAGTCGAGCACGCTGAGGCTCCTTTCTGGGTGGCCCAGGAGACCGCAAATGAGCATGGCAGCCGACTCTCCACTGTGAAAACTGTTCTCCGACTTCAGAAGAAAAACAAGCCCTTGGCGGCCTCAGGTGTTGGGACTCTTTCTGCCTCTGGCTCCTGAGAGCCGGACAGCTCACATTTTCCATTTGTTTTCTGCTTGAGACAAGGGTGGCACTATTTGAAATCCGACTACTCCTCAGCTAGAGCCTGTACATCCGGGCTCTCCTGGGTCCCCTCGCTCAACACTGACTTGGGTCTGTTACGGTGACCAGTTTCCCCTGCACTGCCTGAGCGTTTTGTTTATGAACAGCCTCTGTGTAGGGTGAGGTGTTCTCCCATCCCCAGAGCAGACAAGGCGTGTTACTAGGGTGCTTAAGTCTTTAGTAGTCTCCTTACATTCCCCCTTTTCTCTTTATTCTTCTTTTTATTATATTGGTTTACATTTACTTATTTTGTGTGTAGGTATGTGAGCATATGCATGTTACGGCACATGTGTGGAGGTCAGAGGGCAGCCTATAAGAATTAGTTCTCGCCTTTCACATGTGGGACCTAGGGATGAAACCCAGGTTGTCAGACTTGGTGGGAGACACCTTCACCCACTGAACCTTCTCGGAGGCTTTCCTCTTTTCTTTTTTAATTTATGTGTTTTTATCTATCTATCTATCTATCTATCTATCTATCTATCTATCTATCTATCTATAGCTATCATCTTTTTAATTTAACAGAGAGTACAATAATTTATACCATAGACCTCTAAGAAAAGGCCTGGCTGTTCCGTGCAAGAGTCATATTCTGCCCCTTGAGACTTAAAGTGTGTTCACTGAACCAGTCACAGATTAATAAACATAAAAGCTTTTTAGAAACATGGAATGTTGAGGGAGATGATGGCGCAAGCTGGTAATCCCAGAACTCGAGAGGCTAAGGCAGAAGGATGTTGAGTTTAAGAAGAGCCAGCCTAGACTGCATCATGAGCCTCTGTGTTAGCAGCAGCCAGCCACCTCACCCAGCACCCCCAGTGAAGATGTGTGTGTGTGTACTCATGCTTGAGAAACCCAAGGTGAAGCAGGAAATGGAGCCACAATGGCTGTGGCTCTGAGAGAGGAGCCCAGCTCTGGCAACACAGTATTTTCTAGGTCTTTGGCGTAAAACTCTCATGAGCCATCTTGGCTCACAAAGTGCAACCCTTCCGAGCACAGGCCTCATAGACAGACATCCCTGTTTTCCCAGATCAGCTGCTGGGTTTACTGACTACTTATCATTGAATAACTATTCAATCCTGCAGTGACAACTTCATCTCTATGTCAGGGGCTGGACCACCTTTCTTCCAAGGAAGAAGTAAGAATCAAATGGGTTAACCCGCCTAAGGTCTTCTTCACGCAGTGCACACACACTTTGCAAACGGCTTTTGTGCCCGCCCTCCCACTATTTATCTCTCACATGAGAGCGCTCAGCTGTTTATCAACCTACATCCCACCTTGCTTCAGAAAAAGGACTACACTAATTGGAATCTCATGGTCACTTTCAAAAGACCGGAAATCACAAAGGGTTTGCCTCAAAGACACTAAGCAGGGCAGGGCCCGGGTCTAGCCCCCACCTCTCCCCCAAACCAAGCGGGGCTACTACCCCTGCTCCTTCCTTTACAGACAGATGGGTTCATTCTCGATGACAGACAGACCCCTTCCCTCAGTGGATATGATCAACCCAACTGGTTTCCTTTGCCTGTCTCCTGAACCATCTCCAGGGCACCTGGGCCACATTTTTTTCCCCCTCCAGCCCTCGTCCCCCCCCAACGGCAATCACCAGCAGTTCCTTGAACCTTTTAGTCCGTGAAGCACCAACCGCCCCAGGCAAGGCTGTGAGCCTTGCAATGGCCGGGAAAAGCGCCACCCTTCTTCATTCCCGCCTACTCACCTAGGAGGAGGCCGAGGAGCAGTATTCTGCAGAAAGCGTTCCACTGCATCCTTCTCAGAACGCACGATCTACCAAGATGGCGGAGACAGCCTGCTCATTACTTCTGAAAAGGAAGCCAGAGGAAGTTCTCAGCGTGCTGGCTGCCTGTAAAGACGCCGGGTCACTGCTTGCAATCACAGGATGGAAAGCAGGGCGCTTTACCAGGAGAGACTCACCATTTCTGAAGAAGCACCAGAAGCAGGCAGGGGAGGCAGGTGTCTGGGACCCCACACAGGAAGTGTAGAAGGGCCGCGGGGCCCGCCTGCTGCTCCACGTCACTTGGCAATGTTCGAAATGTTCCAGGCAGAAGCCCCGATCCGCCTCGGTTGTCTGAGGAAATCTGGGCCTCGCAGCCTCGCCTCGAGGATGAGCGAGGGGACTCTGGCACGTCCTCTGGGTTCTGTGAAAAACGCCTATGTGTGTGCCCTGTGCAAAGAGTCTCCACACTGAGGGCGCCTTCCTTACGCATAACCCCACCAGCTGAGGCAGGAAGACGTGGAAACGCTCAGACTCTGTCTTCTTTTATGGTGCCCTTGGCTCTGAGCAGCAGGATGGAGCCATCTTAGTAACAAGACCTGTGAGGGCCTTTGTTTTTCTTTCTTTCTTCGAGACAGGATTTTGCCATACAGCTCTTCCTGGCCCTTCATGGCGCATGCTGAGCCGGTACTGAACATGAGTACCCGCACAGCTTCCTTTCTGCGCCCTGACATCATGTTAAGGGCTTTGCTCATACACCCACTAAGGTAGCTGCTATTATTATTATTTAAAATCTAGCAAAGGCGCTTTCTGAGTTATAAACAATGATCTCTTTCTTTGAAAACAAGCTTTTATTGAGTCTGCTCGTTGATAGTTTCATACATGGACAACATGCCTTCTGATTATTGATTTCCCTTTCTCAACAAGTCTTCCTACATTCATGTTCTTTATTAATTTATTTTTACCTTATCTATTTACTTATTTATCTGTTGTATGTGTATGTGGGTGGGCATATGCACGCCACAATGTGTGTGGAAGTCAGAGGACAACTTGAGGGACTTAGTCCTCTCTTTCCACCATGTGAGTCCCAGGTTTCAATTCAGGTCTTTAGGTTTTTAACCACAAAAAAGTTTATCTGTTGAGGTATCTCTCTGGCTTTTTTTTTTTTTAATGCTATCTGCTGAGTTTAACCAGGATTATCACGGTGTGACAGTAGGTTTGGAGCAGTCCACTGGAGCCTGATGAGCTCCTCAGTTGGTACAGGACTAAGGAAAACAACGGCCCCTCTTCCAGAATCCACCAGCAGCCCACTGTTCAGCGGGAAGGCTGAGGGCCCCATAAGTACCTCCCCAGTCCATGATTGTTGATAGGCCCGGTCACATGTAGATCAAGTGCTGGCAGCCACAGCTACTGCAGTATAAGGTCATGACTGCGTGGGCTGGGCCAGGGCCAGAGGACAGCATTTCACAGCTCTCCTCCCTGTTTTCCTACCCTTACGTTATTTTTGTCCACCGCCTGCCCCAGATAAGTAATAGTATCAGTTTCTTTAAAAATTCTTTTCGTGTGTGTGTGTGTGTGTGTGTGTGTGTGTGTGTGTGTGTGTGTGAGTTTGAGTGTGGGGACATGTGTGGAGGTGCTTGTGGAGGACAGAGGTTGATGCTGAGTTTTCTTTCTCAGTCAGGATCCCCCCCTTACCACTTTGCTGTCTCACTCTCTGGCTCTTGCTCCTTTTCCCAAAAAGATGTCCTTTTATTCATTCTTTGACAGTTTCATACATGCATACAATCAATCTGTCTTGATCATGTCCACCTCGATTTCCCCCTTCTGCTCCCTTCAGACACCTCCAATTCACCTCTCCCCGCTTTGTCGGCCCCTGTAACTCACTGAGTCTGATTAACGCTGCCTGTTGGGATGCCGTCTGACCTTGCTGGCTTTGCCTTGTGCAGGTAACCAGAGCTGCAGTGAGTTCATGAGTGCAGTGGCCGCGTGGAGCCCAGAACCCAGCATCTCACAGCACACCTCCCTATCTGTGGCTCCTACATTCTTTCTGACCGCTCTTCCTCGACGTTCCCTGGGTCCTGGGGGAGTTGAACTTACGTTGTGAGGCTTGGTGGCAGGTTCCTTTTTTCTACTGAGCCATCTCCCCAACCTGATTCTTTAAGATTTTTATATGAAAAGGTTTAATTATGGAAGTAATACACGTGCATATTGAAAACAATGAGGCGCACAGGAGGCCTATAAAACAGAGCACCATCCCCCCCCCCAACCCCTCTGCCTTTCCCCGAGGGGTGGGGCCATGATAACGGACCCCTTCCCTCTGGGCTTATCTTCATATCTCTAAATGTGCACTGCCGTCCTTTGAGTTCCCTGGGAAACAAGCCTTGAGGTGGAGATCTGTGCGCAGGTGGCTCATGGGAATGCAGGACACCTGCAGGGCAGGGAGGGAAGCCGAATGAAGGAGAGAGAAGGTCGACTTCAGAGAGGCAGCCTCAGTCAACTGCACGGTGTTCTCTCCATAGGAGCCCAGTGTCGTCTTGAATAAGGCGAAGGGCACATCACCCAGTGTGAACATAAGCTGTTCCTAGGAGGAGTGTGGACTTGGGTGAGGCAGCGGGTTCTCCTGGGGTGGTACCTGTGGCTGGGCTGCTGTGACTCTCAGGGGCCATTAATCCTCTCAGCTGGGGGTGTAAGCGGTCCTGAAGGGGGTTCCAGGACGGTGTCACCCAGGTCCACACAGCTCACTGCTGCACTGCTCCATGTTTCCGCTTTGCCGCACCCTCAAGCAGCCTTTTCAGGGTCCTGGTTGATCTCTTTCTTTTGAAAAAAGATTTATTTTATATACGTGATTGTTTTGCTAGCATGCATGCCAGTGCATGTGTGTGCAGTACCCAAGGAAGCCAGAACAGGGCATCAGATCCTTGAAACTGGAGTTCCAGACTGTTGTGAGCTGCCATGTGGGTGCTGGGAACTGAACTCCGGCCCTCCTCATGAGCATCAAGTGCTCTTAACCTCTGAGCCATCTCTCCAACAAGATGTTTTGTCTCAGTTAGGGTTTCTATTGCTGTGAAGAGACACCATGACCATGGCAACTCTTATAAGGAAAACATTTAATTGGTGTGGCTCACTTACAGTTTCAGAGGCTCAGTCCATTATAGCAGGGAGCATGGCGGCATGCAGGCAGACGTGGTGATGGTTACATCTTGATCAGAAGGCAACAGGAAATGGACTGTGACCCTGGGCAATATCTTGAGCATAGGAGACCTCAAAGCCCACCCCCACAGTACCACACTTCCTCCAACAAGGTCACACCTACTTCAACAGGACCACACCTAATACTGCCACTCCCTACGAGATTGTGGAGGCCAATTACATTCAAATTACCACACATCTCTCCAACAAGATGTTTTCTTAAAAAAAAAATATTTTCTCTTTGAAAATTTCAAACACGTATTCAACGTGTTTTTGTTCTATCTACTTCTACTGCCTCCCCAAGCTCCTGGGGCCCACTAACCTGCTCAGGACTTCATGTTGTTGTTGTTGTTATTATTATTATTATTATTATTGGTCCTTTGAGCCCAATAAGTCCTAATCATGTGTGAGCAAATGTATGAGTGAGTGTAAGGCCACCCACTGGGGCAAGGCCAACCTCCCGGCAGGCACACCCCAAAGAAAAGTGAGTCTTCCTCTCTCAGCAGCCACTAACTGTCAATAGCTCCTTAACTAGGAGAGGGGCCTCTGGAATCCCACCCCACCACGTTGGGATTTTGACTGGCCTGATCTTGTGCAGCTCTCACGCAGGTAACCACAGCTGCTTTGAGCTGACCTGCACATCAGTCATGCCATTCCAGAAGACAGCAGTTCACAGCTCTCCTCCCACCCTCCAGCTCTTACGTTCTTCCTGCCCATTCTTCTGCAACGTTCCCTGAGCCTTGGATAGGGGTTTGGAGGTGAGGAGCAGAGGATGCTTGCTTGATCCATCAGGCTGGCAGCTTTAGAGTGATATGGCATGTGATAGGACCAGTGGGACCCATGTTTATCTCCGTAGGGTAAAGGGGCCAGCCAACGAAACACACCCTGACCCTGAAACCAGGGCCAGTGAAGGAAACACTTTGGCCCTGAAGCCAAAGAACCACACTCTGCTCCTGACCAACTCAATACAAAAAAAAACCAATCCCTGAGCACAAAACCAACCAATTCCTGAGCACAAAATCCAGCTAATGTCTGAGTTTGTCGAAACTCAGGCATTGAAATCTGACCAACTCCCACCCTGAAAATCTTCACCCTGGAAAAAACCCCTAAGAAGCCCTATATAAGCCCTGTGCCTGTTCAGTTTGCTGCTGGCCTTTTCCCACCCTGGCAGAGGCAGCCACCCTCCTGGATTCTTCCCTCCCAATAAATCTCTTGAATGAGGTTTGGGTGAGATCTTTTTTCTCCAGAATGGAGCGGTGCAGAGAACTAACAACTTTTCACCAGAACATGAGCAGCTCAGAGCTGAGCAGAACTGTAACACTTTGGCTGGGGAAACCCTCCCCTGGGGAAACCTTCCCCTGGGGAAACCCTCCTCTGCCGAGGCAGAGTTGTTACATTGGGGAGACCTTTCCCTGGAGCAGAACTGTAAGCTGCTGTGCTCACAGTGACTTTGTGGTATTCCTTGGCTCCCGACTTGACTTGCAGGATACTTTTCCATCGGAGCTGCGATGTTTACAGTTGTGGTGCTGTATAAGGTACAATGGCGATGGATCAGATAATACAGGAATGCTTAGATGGCAGGTCTAGCTGAGGTACTGCATGCCAGAAAGTCAAACTCTGAACCAGGGTGTGGTGGCTGACGGCTACAGTTTCAGCACTTGTGAGACTGAGGCAGGAGGAGCGCCACAAGTCTGAAGTGAGTCTGAGTTACATATCGAGTTTTATTCTGGGGTACAGAGTGAGATCCCGTCTCAAACCAATGGCTGCAATAACAAGGACAACATCAATGACAAGTCTTTTCCAGCCTTGGCCTGGAAAGATGCTCCATGTGTTAAGGACAGACGGGTTCGTTTGCTCCAGGATGACACCAACTCAGGGCTCGGCACGGGGACTCTTTCACTGATGGCAGGGGCTATGGTGGAGTTGATGAGTAAGAGACCACACTACTGTGCCCAGATACAGCTCCACCACTGTCGACACGGTTCCTTCATAGCCTCAGTGTTCCAGTATTGAGACGGCCCCAGGCAGAGCCAGCTGACATTAACTGGCCAAGTCATTTTTTCCTGCTTTGTGGTGTGTGCTTTGTCATACACACACCCCTTCCCCAGACTTCTCTGTCCCTAATCTTCTGTTGTCACTTGTTCTAGGCCCTTGGCCAATACATCAAGTCATTTCCGACTGCCCACGAACCTCTGCCTGGTCT